AAACATAAGCAAAGATGCTTAGTCTCATTTATATGAAGAGACATCTGTGACTTGGAAATTTTGATAGATGATGGTGTCTGGATAACTGTAAGACGATTTAAGACATTGCTGTCTAGTTTCCTGAATCATCCTGGGAGGCCCACACAGCTGGGCTTTGTGAAATCAGTGTGTAGGGATAACTGCATAGCTGTATGAGGGTACTTCAGAAAGTTCACGGAAAAACAGAATTAAAAGATAATACAAATCTTTCCATAAACTTTTTTAAGTACTCTCGTATTTCTGGTGCTGTTGTTATTAGACAAAAAGGCTTTAGGAGAGTTTTAAAAAGGGCTTTCTGGTTTGGGGTTTAACTTTTTACAAAGTAATTTTGAAAATAAAGAATAAAAGTTTCTAGAATGCAGTTGTCGAAGATTCACATTTCACTGTAAACTGAAGGCGGAAGGCAATGTTCTCACTGCCACGAGATTCTTCTTTCATACCTGCGCAGCCTTTGCAGAACCTATTGCGTTCTTACATAAATATGTCTTGGCATCACAATAAAAATGCTTGCTTCTTGGCTTGCATTTGCTTTATATTTATAACCTTAATGTTCTGCTTGGTGCATTTTGAAATTTAATAAGGCTGTGACAGCACACTTTGTGCTACTGCATCTTTTTCTTAAACAGGTCTTAGACTTTGTTTCCCCCTCTTGTCTTTTTGCACAGAGAAGGCTGGATTTATTTTGTAGTAAAATAAAAAAGAAACATATTAATGAGAACAAGATTAACTACAAAGAGTTAGTAACCTGATGCCAATCTCTATTTAAAAATGTCTTTTTGCACAGAGAAGGCTGGATTTATTTTGTAGTAAAATAAAAAAGAAACATATTAATGAGAACAAGATTAACTACAAAGAGTTAGTAACCTGATGCCAATCTCTATTTAAAAATTTTACTGTTTCATGAAACCAAAAGGTAAAAACTAATAAAAACTAGTAAGTAAAAACTGAATACATAAAAAATTAATGAGAACAAGATTAAGTACAAAGAGTTGGCAACCCTTTGTCAATCTCTATTTTTAAATTGTACTGTTTCGTGAAATAAAGTCTGAGACTCATGCATGAGCCTAAAATCCCCTCCAGCTCTATGACACACTGAATTTTATTTCCTTGTCTGGTTAGCAGTTAGTGGGGCCATTGCAAACCTGAGACTCAGCTGATGAGCCTTCTGTTCTTCAAGTCTGCAACCTCCCTCACGACTATACCTCCCTTTCCTTTTCAGCCAAAAGTGAAGTCCTAATGTGTGGCAGACCCTCCCCAACAGAAATCCCACTCAGCCACACCAGGAAAGGCAGCACAGCAGAGGGAAGAGCTTGGGTTTTGGAGTCAGGCAGCCCTGGGCTCCAACTCTGGCTCTGCTGTTCACCAGCTATGTGACCTAAGTCTCAGTTTCCTCATCTGTAAAATGGGAGTACGAGCAAAACTTACCACGTGGAATTATCATAAAGGAGAAATGAGATGTCCATGAAGTCTTAATATACTGTGTGGCATATAACAAGTGCTTAGTAAATGTATGAGTATGTATATATGATTGTGTATTGTGGGTATATGAATAAATATATAGGCGCTGTCTGTACACACCTGCCTTTGTAAATTGAAGACCCAGAATGGAGAGAGACGTGTGCATAGCTTAAGAAAAATCACAAATGTTCATTTTATAATTAAAAAACGAATAAATAGGGAAACCATTGCTTCAATATAATACAATGTTCTGATGGGATACCAGACTCAGTTCCGAGACTTTACATCTATTAACTCATCTGATCCTCATAATAACCCTTAGGTAGATACTGTTATTCCTGTTTCACAGATGAGGCATAGAGACGTTAAGTAACATGCCCTCACGCAGCTAATAAGTGGTAAATTCAGGAATCAAAACCCAAAGCATAGCCACCGAGTCTATGCTTTTCACCACTACAGGGGGAAAAGGGCTCGATTCAGCCTCAACCACAATCATGGTCCTTTCTAGATCTGCACTATTAATACAGCAGCCACTAGCTATGTATGGATATTTAAGTCTAAATTAGTTAAAATTAAATGAAATTAAAAATTCAGTTTATCCATCGCACTAGCCACATTAAAGTGCTGAACAGCCAGATATGGATAGTGGCTACTGTATCAGGCAGCACAGACACAGAACATTTCCACCATCACAGAAAGTGCTGTTCTAGCTAACTCTAGAAAGTATTACCAAACATAAGACACAACAACCTCGACAGGTACTGCATGGATTTATTTTTAATTAAATACCACTTCATAATGTTATTTGCACCTACCACACACACTTTTTGAACAAATAAGACATGCCATATTAGTCACAAAGTTAACAAAATGTAAGCATCCACATAGAATATATTCTAAGGTGACTTCATTTACACAGATCTCAGAGCAATACACATGTAACTTTTTTTGTCTATCAGCCAGTGCTGGACTGATCACATTTGGAATTCACAAGGCTGCAGGGCGGATTCCCCATCACTACCCTGATGGTCGTCCTGTACCCACACAGCACCGTCAAGCTGGCTGGTTTCCACTAGAAGAGCAATGGAGATGTCAGTCCTTCTTTCCCTACCCAGTGTTCAGTTCCATGCTGCAAACTCCCCTCCACCTCCCACATAATCTGAAGCTTAGTGTGATGGCATCATCAGACCTGTAGCTTCTTGGGCTGAGTCAGGGGGCTCCCATCTTCAAAGGCACCAGTTTGCAAAGAACTTGTTCTAATGTCTAATCAGGGAACCCAGAATCCCAGCCTTTAGAAGAGGGGAACACAGTTGGGGCAAAGGAAGAGGAAGACCAGAGAAGAACTGAAGCGTAAACCCAAGTCTGGGGCCTGCTTTAGGTACTGGCTACTAGGAAGGAGATGGACGTGATACTTAACATTTCTTGGAGCACTTAAGAGGGCTTGGGGAGGTCAGAGCCAGGGGTAAAAATCAAAGAATCAGGGCTACGGTGGAAACTTGATGTTCCCTGTCCCCATCCTAACAGTCAGTACTGCTTACTGCCACCAACAAATGGTCCATTTGCACCTGGAGACAAAGACTGAGAGAACCTAGCCCAAGCCAGACTCAGAACTCTAGAGATGGTGCACCGCATCAGCTTTCTTCCAGACTGCTCCAGTGACCTATGCCCACTGCCACTCAGGAAACCACCACAGAACTTTCTGCTCAGCCCTCTCATAGCTCAGCTTCATAGGATGATGTCCCAAACCTGAAGGCAAGGGAGCTGCCCAGGCCCTAGCAGCAGTTCCTGAGTGACACTGTCCCCATGATCTGCAGTGAACCTGATATTACAATGTACTTTTATCCACTCATCTCAAGAAAGCTGGCTGCCCCAAGGATAAAAGGCCCATAACAAAGGGAAGGAAGAAGACAGTAAGGTTGGGAGCACATACTATGCTGAAATTATTACCAATTATCTGGGTTTGACACATTTGAATAGATGCCCTGCTCACCTATTCTTCATCTACTCTGCTCTTACCCCCAGCCACAGAAAAATCACTTGGGAAATGAGGAATTTCTGAACAGTAGCAAAACCTGATTTTAATTGCCCCGCTGTGTTTTGTTCTTATGGGCTTGGAGCTTGACCTTGAAACGTGACTTACCCCTTGATTCTTCTGTATACCGAAGCAGCCCTCCTTTTTGGTCAGTGCTGGCCCTACCATTCCCTTTCTAATGAACCATCAGAGGTTCCCATGATGGCCTTACTTGCTATGCTGTGCTTGAATCCTAGGTAGATTTGCCACCCATCTGTAAGTGGGGACCAAATCACCTCCAGTTCTGAATATCCCTTGGAGTTCAGGGCCCAACCTTTAGCAAGGCCCCCGCAACACATCGCCCTTCACACTATCTCGGCCTGCCCTGCCAGAGTATTCCTGGGTAGTGTCTCTCTCCCTGCCGGCCTGGAGGGCAGGAACTACGTCTTGTCTTTGTAGTTTCACTCTCCAAAGGCTTAACACGCAGTAAATGCCTCATAAATATTGAATTGAATTGATACCCACCCTAAGGGGGAGAAAAGCTCATTGTCTGATGCCTTCTTAGGCATTTAAGACACAATACAGAAGTGGTTAGGATATAATACAGAAGTGGTTATCACAGGCGACAGATGTCAGAGTTTTTCAAGTCAGTGTACTAAATCAGTATTAAGCACAATCCATAAAGATAAACGATCTATTAACACTGTTATCTTGCCTACTGGTTAAGGGCTGCCTAAGGAGCACTAAGTATAGTTCTAAGTAGTAGTCACTGGATGGAGCAATGCCACAGATCCTATGGGGATTATTCAACCTGCCAAAAGAACCCCAGAGAGGAAACAGAATTAGTAATTCTAACTTTCTAGCAGGGGTACATGGGGCCCTGGAGTTTTAGCAGACCATCTTTTCCTATTATTACGCTTTCCAGGTGTGTGACCTCTGGATGACTGGCATCAGAACCACCTGGGGTGCCAGTTAAGAATGCAGCCTCTTGGGCCCACCCCAGTCCTACTTAATCAGAGTATCTGCAGCTGTGGTGTAGGAATCTGCCTTTTAAATAAAGTCCTTGGGGATCCTTTGCTTGTTAAAGTTTGCAAACCTCTACCTGCCATTCTCAAGTCAGTCTAGGGGAAGACAATCACGTATGTGGCCAGAAAGAAAGCAACAACCCCATTTTTGAGGGTATTTGCTTCTCCCAGACATATGTACATGGGAATGAGGACCCAGAGAGTCTCTATGGACTCTGAGGAAAGTAACTAACACCTCCAGCTTGGCCTGTGGATGTGCAGAGGTCCTACTTAATCAGAGTATCTGCAGCTGTGGTGTAGGAATCTGCCTTTTAAATAAAGTCCTCGGGGATCCTTTGCTTGTTAAAGTTTGCAAACCTCTACCTGCCATTCTCAAGTCAGTCTAGGGGAAGACAATCCCGTATGTGGCCAGAAAGAAAGCAACAACCCCATTTTTGAGGGTATTTGCTTCTCCCAGACATATGTACACGGGAATGAGGACCCAGAGAGTCTCTATGGACTCTGAGGAAAGTAACTAACACCTCCAGCTTGGCCTGTGGATGTGCAGAGTATGGAGAGGGGCATGGGGCTGTCTCTGAAATGAGCACCCCAACCTTCCAGAGGGCACTGGTGTGCAGGAAAAAAAGGAGCACAGACAACAGCCAGGCTTTCTGGCCAGCCTTTTATAACTGTCATCGCCTCTTGTAAGACTAAGAGGGATTTTTCTTCCTTTCTGAAGAGTCATCGCCCTTGCTCCTCTCCTTCTCCCCCTTCTTCTAGAAGGCAGATGTACATTTCCAACAGGCGAATGACAGAGTGTCCTGCCCAGGGTCGGCCCACGGTGCCATGTGAGGGTGGCATGGCTGTTATCACACATACAGAATCATGAGTGGGAGGGCTAGAGACGAGCATGCACTGGGGGCAGGAAGACTAGACTTACAGATCTCCAGCCTTTCACTGGAATTGAAAAGTAAGAGTGGAATCTCTGCCTTGCTTTGGCTCTGAAGAGTGTGACGACCTTTGGCCATGGACTGAGGAAGCTCGCTTACCACCCTCTAGGATGGTAAAAAGGCTTTGCAAATCCCACTGGGTTCACCCAGGCAGAGGCTGAATTCCATACTGCCCAACTGGAATACTGTTTTCATCCCCACCCTCACCCTCATCATTTGAAATTTCCAAGACCAAGATGACATATCCTTTGCCAGAGACACAGGCTTTCCAAGATCCCCATCCACAGAGTTCTCAGTTAAAAAAAATAAGACTTGAAAGGCAAGTTTTTGAATTAAGGGTAAACCACTGCCAGCCTGGCTTGTTGAACGGTGATAAATCGAGGGAAGGCAAGTCTCACTCAAGGTGGGCTCATTCCTTCTTGGTGTGTTCCAGGACTCGGTAGGGAACTCCAGAGGCGCTTCTGGAGCTGTGTTCTTCTTGCATGACTGGCAGTGTGGCAGGAGCGTAGATCTCAGAAATGCTGTCGTTGTTTTCCAGGGCCCCGTAGGAAAAAGAAGCTTTGAGGTCAGGCTGGACAGTCATCCCCTTGTCATGCATGTTTTGCATACCTGAAATGAAATCCATTTCCCACAAATGGTTACGTGGTAAGGGGCCAAAGGAGGCTTCAGCTACCTCTATATCACCACAGACTAATTATAGTGCTCAGGAGCTAATCATGTGCATTGTCGATTCCCTGAATGCTTTAGATTTCAAAGAGAATACCCATAAATATACACGAGAAATATTACAGTTGCTAAGCAACAAGGGATGAATCTTCAGGAAATATGCACATAGAGCAGCCACTGTCAAGAGGAGCTACCAGTTGACCTAGAATGAGGTGGGAAAGCCTGTGTGGGCCCCAGGTGGAGTGATACTAGCACTGTGCTTTGAACATGGTAGATGCCAATACTTTACTGCTGGATTAAATCAGGATCCAGAAAACTTCATTGTATCGTTGAGGGAAGATGGTAACTTTTGTATCCTGGACAGACACCTGATGGTGACAGATGCATCAAGATACTCAAAGGGAGAGTTTTGACCTTTAACATTAACATCCCTGGTCGACAAATAGGGTCAGGTGCAATTTTGCTTATGACTTCTGGGCAAATTGATGTTGAATTTCTACTTACACCTGAGGGCAAAGGCTTTAATCTTTAATTCCTTTACCCTTATTCTACAGTTCCCCTATTCGGGGGGTCTCAGTTACTTTTGAAGTCAATTCATTTCCTGCCAGGGAATTAAGACCCCTCAAATTCTCTGCCTGCAGGCCAACTCATATGAACTTGAATGAAACTTAGATGATAATAACATCTGACACCTGACCGCTTCATATGCCCTAGGCAATGGGCTAAGCACTTTAAATAGTAACAAAAATAACGATTATGGTGCACAGTGTTTAGTTGGTGGCACACACTATTCTCACAGTTATAAAGTTGTATCACCTATGATCCTCATGAAGACTGATAAGGAAATGAGGCTACTGGAGGTTAAGTAACTTGCCTGAGATCACACAGCTGGTAAGTGGCAGGGCCAGGGTTCACACTCAGGAGGTTTAAACTCTGAAACCCACACTACTAACCGAAATGCTGTGTGGACTCCCTATACACCTGCACTTAATCCCCAAACAAACCTATGACAGAGATGAGCTACAATCCTCATTTTCTGGATAAGAAAATAGATTCAGAGAGGTGAAGGAACTTGCCCAAGGTCACACAGCTAATGAGACAGAGCTGGGATCTGACATCAGAGCCTGTGCTCTTATCCACTCTGCAAATGGCCTGGGAAGACCCAGTCTGCAAAAGGCCCTTTGCCTCCATATTGCATAAGCCTTAGCTCATGGTCATTTGAAGGGCACAGTTTAAGGGTCTATGGTTTGGACTTGGGCATGGGGGGAGATGAGGGGTTGCCTATTCCTCAGGGAAGAGAGTTGGCTTACCAGGTATGCTTCAGCTTTCAGATTTTGCCAATGCCCTCCAGCCAAAGACCAGCAGGGATACACCTACAGTCTCACAACTTTGGGTTTACTGACTCATTGCAATGGGGGAGATGCACACCATGGGGAGCCGTGGTGTGTGTGAGTAAAAGGGCATTAGAGAGGACTTAAAGGATTTGGGCTTGGGTTAGGTGATTTTGTGGAAGGTTCTAGAAAGTGAGGCTTTGCTTTGGATTAGATGCTGTCAGGAAGCAGGGATAATTCTGTAATTGGGGGTCTTAATAATTCTTATCTAGGACAGAGGACTAGATTGAGGCTAGATCTGCGATTGGTAAAGAAGCAAGAGTCTCTCCAATTAGCCAGGATAGGGGGATGGTTGGTCCTTTCTGTGACTTGGTCAATGTTCATGTTTTATCTATGTTCAGATGTGTTCATGTGTGGGCCTGTGTGTATCATGATTCATCGCAGTCACAGAGTGGCCTTGTCTGCTGCTGATGTTCTGTGCATTTGTTTACAACCAGCCGGAGAACACCACAGCCCAGCTGAGTGCCAGGCCAGCTCCTGGAGGTCAGGGGCTGCTTTTCTCGTTAACATTTTTAAGAAGTCTTTCAGGTGCTTGAATTACTTAAAGCCTCTTCAAATTGCAACGTGTAGTGAATTTTTAGAATTTGAATACCTCTTGAATAGCAGCTTCTGCTCTGTTGCGAAGATACCAATCTAGATGGAAAAAGATCCTGATGCAGACCAGAGAAATCAAGTGGCTAGAAAAGCAACTTGGTTTAAGCTTAGATTATTCAACAATTTTATTCTGCATAGTCTACCTGGCACCAGGTCAAACAAGTGTTTGAAATTTTCGCCTTTTTTTTTTTTAAAGCAAAAGGGAAGTGAAATCAAATTTAACCAGGCATCTACCATGTCCCAGACACTATGCGTGGGGCCTTTACACTTATGATCCCACTATCCTGAAAGAGGAAACCCCAATTTACAAGTGAGGATGAGAGGCCCTGGGCAGTCACCCAGCAGGTAGGTGGTGAAACTGGGATTTGAATCCAGGTCACCAGAACCCCAAGCCCATGCTCTGCATAGTACAGAACACGTTTAATCACAAGTGTCCTGACAAGCCACGGCAATAGGGCAGGGTCTCCCTTCTTCAATATCTGACTTCCACTGGTCACAAGATACAAAGAGAAAGCCAACAAGCCACACACACAAACAGGCCACAGAACGTTGATATCTAAGGTTACCTTAGGTTACCTTCTATGTTCCACCAGAAAATACATCTGTATATATGTATATACAAATATTTATATAGATATATACACATACATAGTATATAAACACATAAACACACATATACATACACATACTTTCACACACAGAGTTGACACCTCACCTATCTGGAATTCAGCTATCCAGCGCCCTCATCTATCCGGAACACAGCCGAGAAACAAGGAAGTAAGCAAAAAAGGCATCTGAGCAGCCAGATTAGATCTTTAAAAAGTCCATGCACTACAGCTCATGCACTTAACTCCTAGGAGAAACCTTAGGTCCCCAACTCAGAGCTCATTCATTTTAATTTTATATGTAATTTGAACAAATTGGGCCAAATGAGAGGATCGACATGGAATTGCCAAACTCAGGCAGGCTGGCAACACTAAGAATGACAGACAACAGCTTAGTAGCAAGAGATGAGAAAATAATATAAAAAGTAGACACATAAACCCTGGGGCCATTTAATGTAGCAGCACCCCAGTTAGCCCTGAGAACACACCTGCATTATGCACTACGGCAGAAAAACCGCTCTTGATTAAGCCATACTCTATGCCATCATGTGTTTGTATTTTGTTCATTAGACTGTGTTAATGAAGGACAGAGGGTTGTGCTTTAGAGTTTCATCTTATATATTTTTAAAATAAAAAATAATTTTGAGTTAAAGTGTGAAAGCTAGGGGTCACCGGCAACCTACAGAATTTAGGTCCGCAAATCAAGCTGGCATTGGCCCAATGTCTTAACTTTTCTGTGCTGAATCCCTTTAGGCTGGACAGGCACTTTCCAGTTTTCCACAAGCCCTACCACTCCCTATCATGCAGTATTTGGCTGAAGCACATGTTTATATTACTGTCAGGGTTTCAAGGCATTTAAGCTTGTGCTTCTCAGTATGAACACTTAGCCCCCTGGAAAATTATGTTTTCCAGAACAATCTACTCCCTTGTAGAATCCAGGGAGTGAGGTTCTAGTATTTAAATTTCATTGATCCTATTTTCCTTCCCCTCTCTGATCATTCCATTCCAACTAGATGAATGGATTTTTCCATTTGCAGGCATGAAGCCTGGTGCTGCAGATCCTAATTACATCCAGCGTGAATCAGGATTTTCTTTCCGAGATCCTGAAATAGACACAGAAACAGGCAAGATGTGCTCAAAACCAACAGAGGTGCCTCAGCCATTGCTTCCTCTTTTGCACAATGAGATTTAAAAAAAAAAAAAAAAAAGACAGTGAGAGACCAGTCACACACAACGGCACAGCACGGTGGCTGGTTGTCTCTCCTTCAACAGGAAGTAGCAGTCATTCTATATGGATGGCCAGCTGGACCCATGGGGTTGGGCTGTTACCTGGCATGGCATCCATGGAAATGTAGGGCTCAAATGGAATGGCCTTCTTCCTGTTACGTGTGATTAAGAAGACACCCAAGAATGCGATGAGGCACCTGAGGAACAGAGATAAGAAAGGAAGAGAAATAAGGCCAGGAGTGAGGTCGGGGAGGGACGCTTCCAATCCCAGGTGGTGAGGAAAGGTCAAAAGGCTGCTTGCAGGCTGCAGAGGAGGGCTCACCGCTGAGCACAGCAGCCTGGGGAAGCTGCTGGGCCTGAGATGAGAATAATGACAGCCTCAGGAGCAGCCCCACATGCCCTGCACTCCCCATTAGCTGTATCAGAATAAAGCAGACTCTCCTGGGCTGAACTTCCATGGTTCTTCACTTCCATTTGGCCAGTATCCTCAGAATCTTGCCTTTAAAAATGATTTTTTTTTTCCTTTTTGTCTTTTTTCGTGACCGGCAACGGATCGCAACCCTCAGTGTCGCGCCCGTACCGGACCGGGACCGGCCACGGGATCGCAACCCTCGGTGTTGCTCCCACCCCTCGCTCAGCCAGTGAGCGGCCGGTCTGTATGTGGGATCCGAACCCTCGGCGGGAGCGCCACCGCGCTTCCCAAGCGGCGCACTATAGCAGTGCGCCACTGGGCCGGCCCCAGAAATGATTTTTTTTTTAATTAAAAAATTCTTTATGTGGGCCGGCCCGGTGGCGCACTGGATAGTGCAGCGGCGCTCCCGCCCGAGGGTTCGGATCCCACATACAGACCGGTTCCCGCTCACTGGCTGAGCGAGGTGCGGGCGCAGCACCGAGGGTTGCGATCCCATTGCCGGTCCCGGTCCGGTACGGGGGCAACACTGAGGGTTGCGATCCGTTGCCGGACACAAAAAAAAAAAAAAAAAAAAAAAAAAAAAAAATTCTTTATGGCCTGAATTCAATCACTGCAGAAGTATAGAAAATAAAAATTAGCAAAAATTGGAAAGCCCTCATACTCCTGGGTGACACTTCCCCAGGTAGGTGTATATTTTTCTGGAGTATTTTTTGTTTTTTTCTTTTCCCTATAAACAAGCATTCTTTCTGAAAATTGAGATATAATTCACATGCAATAAAATGCAAAAACCCTAAATATGTGCCTAGATGAATTTTACTTGTGCATACACCTGTGTGATCACTACCCAGGTCAAGACAGAGAACATTTCCATCCCCATCAGAACGTTTCCTGTGCCCTTCCCCGTTCGTGCCAACTCTTCCCCAGACATGACCACCACTCTGAGTTCTGTCACCATGTATTAGATTTGCCTGGTCTTGAATTCTTGTAAGTTAAGTCACATAATGTGTGCTCTTTTATACCCGGTTTCTTTCCCTTGATAAAATACTTTTAAGATCCATCTATTTTATTGGGTGAATTAGTTGTTCATCATTTTTAATTGTTGTGCAGAATCCATTGTCTGAGAATATACCAGCATCTTTTTCTCCCACTGTCCTGTTGACAGACATTTAGGTTGTTTCCAGTGTGGGCCTATTATGAATAAAGCTGCTATAAATACTCAGGTACAAGTCATTTTGTCAATATATGTGCTCATTCCTTTGGGGTAAAACTCTAGAAGTGGAATTGCTGGATCGTGGGGTAGGCCACACTTTAAAAAAAAGTTCGTAACTTTTTTTCATTAATGTATCCAAGACATGGTTCTATGTTAGTACATATAGACAGGCCTCAATTTTTCAGAATGGCAGCATGACACTTTATTATATGGATATACTGTAATTCATTTAACCTGTGTTCTACTGCTGGGCATTTAGGTTGCTTCCAATTGTTAGCTTATACAACTAATTTAAAAATTAATAAATAGCCCCATACATGTGTTTTTGTGTTCCCCCTCAAGTATTTTTCCAAGATTAATAACTAGAAATGAAATACTGCATCAATAGCTATGCTCATTTAAAATTTTTATTGATGTTGCCAGACTGTCCTCTCACATTAGAGTACTGCTGAGTGTGGTAGTGGGCTGTCCCTTCACCCGCTTGCCAACATGGAATATTATGAACCCTGTTAGTTTCTGCGAAATGATGGTATCTCATGTAGCTTTAATGTGCATTTCTTAGATCTGAAGTTCAGAGTCTTCATGTGTTCAATTGTGATATTTTAGAAATGACAAGGAAGAGAAGAAGGGGGAAGGGGAGAAAGCCCTTTGGGGAGTAAAATGCCACCTCTGAGGACAAAGCTCCAAAGCCCAGCAGCTCCCCTGACTCGACAGGATGGCTGAGCAGCTGAAGCAGTAACAGGGAGAGAGGGATCCCCTGCCCCGAATTCTACGCACAACACCCTGGGGCCCACGGGCAGGAGGGAACTCACCCCAGCGCAAACATGCAGATGTGCAGCACGTCCTCCCCAACAAAGTCCAGGTAAAATATTGCGCCTACAGCAGCAAATGATAGAAAATACCAGTGAGCTGTTTCCAAATCACCCACTTGCCAGTCTGTCTAGGATTTGGCTATGCTCTCTTCCCTGCAGGAAACCAAAATAATCGAAAAACATGACTGTGCCTGGTAAAATGTTAGAAGAATGGAATAAAAGTCATTTGTGCAAACAAGTTGCCTTTGCCCCCCTCCTTAGGCTCCTCTTATCTCCGTCTTTTTTTTTTTTAACTTTTTATTCTGAGATAGTATTAGACTTACAACAATTGTACAGAGTTTCCATGTTTCCTACTGCTTCCCTGTGCCATATCTTCCATAACCTAGTGCACGATCAAAGACAGGACAACGGCAGTGAAACAGCTCTACTACCTACAGACCTCATTCACCAGTTTTCGCACATACTCCTCCACCTGCTCCACTCTTCCATCCCACCCCCACCGGCTTCGTGCTACATTCCTGAGCTCCTGATTCCCTGCCTGACCAGTTTCTGACTCAGCCGTACTGTTTGCTATTCCTTTCTACCTCGACCAGTCTTCACCCTTTTTGACCTTCTTGCTCATCACTTAGCTTCCAGCTGCTCCGGGTCAAGGCCCCACTCGATCCTTGGTACTGCTCACAGCGCAGGCCTCGGAAGGCTGTGCGCCTTGCCTGCTCCTACCTCTGTGAATGGGAATCGGGGCAAGTGGTGTCTCAAGAGCGGTGCAGAGCACATGGCTTTACAGCCTGGCCCTCTTCAAAGGGACACACTTGGTTCTTATGGGACTTTTTACTCTGAAAACTTTAGTCATCACTGCCATTTAAAAAACAAATAAACTTTTGCAGCCTCTGTAGCCACCTCAGAAAGAAAATGGAAAACAAAACAAAACAAAAAAAACTTAGGGGTGGAGTAGGAGGAGAATATAGTAGCAACCGCTTACTGAGCACCTAAGCCACTGCATATGCTTCACTGAGCACCTAAGCCACTGCATATGCTTCGCATACTCGCGATCTCTAAAAATTGTGTAGAAGGGATTTGTGGCCACTTGGGCAGCAGGGGCTGTGGAGCTAGCAGATGATGGCAAAAACTGTGAGAGAAACTTTACGCAGGCCCCACAAGCAGGATGGAGCAGCAGACATTTGGACTGCACATACTGCAGTTCTGGAAGGTAAGTGTTGTTACTCCCATTTTATGAATGTGGAACTGAGGCTCAGAGAGGTTAAGTAATTCTCCCAGAGACACACAGCTAGTACGTGCCTGTGCTGGGATGCAAATCCAGATCTCTGTGGCCCTAAATCCTGCACATTCTCCACGCAACCATACTGTACCACTCTGACAGGCAGTCAGCCTAGTGACAGAGGCAGAGCCCCCTCCTTCCACACCGGGATGGTGCCCCTGCTGCTAAGGCAGAAGACAGAAATCTAGCAATCGGCCACCCTTACCTGCTGTGATAGCAACAGTTGTGGATAGAATGTAGCCCACGCTCGCAATCAAAGAGGAGTCGTACATCTGTGAGGCTTGACTTAAAAACCTTCAACACAAAAGCACTCTGGTCAGTGGGCGGTGGGGACATCAGGAAGGCTAAGGTGAAAGCTGACAACAGCAAGAGCCTGGTTCAGAGCAAGAAGACTATGCATGAAGGAACATGCCTTGGGTTTACATGAAGGCCATCCTCACGGTGCAGGGCCCCATGCATCCCCAGGTCTGCGTTCACACCTGGCACCCGTCCTTCCCCCAGAAGCACAGCCTGAGGCCCAGCCCCCTTCCCCAAGTGGGCCACGCCTTCCTGGTCTCACACCTTGGACCCCATGGTTCTTGTCACCTGAAGCCCTTCTCCTCAGCTCTGCATCCCCACCCCACGAGAAAGAACCATTCCTGGTCTCTTCTGTACATACCCCAGAAACTCTTACAGCACTTATTACAGCCTGCCTAGTGCTGTAATTTTTTTTTAAAAAAATTTTCTTCTTAATTAAAAAATGATGTGATTGCTGCTATATATATATAGGAAAGGAGAAAATTAGAGTCATTCCTAATCTCCCCAACTATGATAAACACCACCCTCGTTTTGGAACATATTCTTTGTCCTTTCTCTGCATAGCATTTCAGTTATTATTGCATGTTGCTTATATCATAACATATTCACCCCTCAATCGCACTTGCCTGTTTTCCAGCTGTCCCCCCACCCAGGGCTGTGAGTGCCTCGAGGGCCTTCAGTGGACTGCACTGACCAGGTGAAAGGGATACTCCCTAGGAGGCCAGCAGGGGTGCCCAAGTCATCCCTGTAACCCCAGAGTGCTCAGCACAGAGCCTTGCACTGGGCAGGGGCTCCCTGGTGATGACTGTAATTGCTGTAGTAGGACTAAAAATAATAATCAAAATAATAATAGTAAGGACAATAATTATAGAAGCAGCTAATATTTGCTGGACTTTCTCCTAGGGACTGTTCTAACAGCTCTACATGACTGAGGTAGGGACTGTTGCTTTCCTCACTGCGGGTGAAGACTCGGAGTCCTGCAGAAGCTGATTAGGAGGTTGTAGGGCTGAGTGGTGAGGGCTGTGGGCCGGGGAGCCAGCCGCCTGGTTCAAATCAGCTCCACCACTTCCTCTTAACCTCTATCCCTCAGTTCCTCATATGCAAAACGGGGATATCATCATCTACCTCCAAGGGGCGTTGTGAGGACCACATGAGTTTGCTCTGTAAAGCACTGAGAATAGAGTCAGGTGCACACTAAGCACCTGGTCAACAGCAGTTCTGCCCCTGGGATCTCTCAAGACTACGACGTAACTGGTGGATGGCAAGCCCAGGCCTGAGCTCGGAGTCTGACCTTCGCAGGCTGAATCAGCCTTGCCCACCCCACTGAGTCCTATGTACCTACGCAGGTTTGTCACCTGCAATATTCCTGGAGTGCTTCCTTCCTTCCAGGCCCTCACTGGGCACAGGGGCTCAGCCGTGAACAAGACAGGCCTTGCCCTCAGGAATGCTGTTTTTCACTTAATTCTTATGCTTAGAGAGAGAAATGGGCACCTTGCTCTTTTACTTGGGAAGATATGGGGGAGCTATCTTGAGGACAAGAATTGACGATTTTTATTTTGCATCTAGCAGACAATTAGGTGCCTCCTGGGGATGGCAAAGCTTCTTCTGAAGCCCCCAAAATATACGCCTGCCTTGGAGAAGATGGGAAGTGAGTCTGTTCTGACCACATATTTCTCACATTTTGAGTCCCCTCCAGGCTGTCTTTCAAGCAACACAGAGCCCTTCCACACGACAACTCAGCAAATTAGTAACCCCTCTGCACACTGGATGCAGTGTGATCTGAACGTTATGCCTTCCTGACAGGAAGAGACCTACATGCTGAGGTCCAGCAGGAAAAGAATTTGCAACTCACGCAGCTTGGTAGATGGCGGTTGCCACCATGCACACGAACATCACGTAGAAGATGGGGTAGTCGAGCTGCAGATTCCCTTGGATGGACAAGACAAGCATCCCGGCCACGGCCTTGACCGTCACCACCGTCATGGAGCCTGCGGATGGTGAACAGGGTGTGTGGGAGCCTCAGGGAAAGGCAGAGTCAGACCCTGACAGTCAGTTTATAACCTCAAAGGACCCGTGAAGAAGATGGGAGGGAACACGCAGAGTCAACCCAGTGGTTTACTCGGTGAGAAGGCGCCGCGTGTACTGGGTCTCTACTTCTCCCATGCACTGCCCGTCATCTGTGCTGATACAACAGGGAAGGGAAGAGAGCAAAACCCCAACAGCTGTTTGCAAATGTCGCTTCTAATCTCTACCAGGATGGGCAATAAGGTCAGTTCTCGGAATCTCAGAGCACCCAGCACTGCACCTGCAACACGATGGTAGGCCAAAGGCTCTCCTGATGGACAAATGAGCTCGTTGAGTATCAGTCTCACAGCGACCACAGGAAAACACGTGGTGCGTGAAGGGCTCGGGAGTCACTTCAATGCTGAGTCACTTGTATTTTTAAAAATGTTTCTTTAAACCAGAAGTCTCCAGTGTTTTAGAATGCCCACCCCATGCATCTGCATGTCAGTTTTCAATATATATGTGCTTATTTACTTTAAAGTTATAGTCATGTAACACTGTACATTTATGGTATGTACATTATAAAACCCGTGCAGGAAATATGATTCAAAATGTGGAAAAAATTATGCAAATTCTATTATTTTCTTCCTGTGTTGTGTACCCAGTGGACTATTTTGCTCAACTCATTCTAAAGACTGTCACTTTAGGGGCCGGCCAGTGGCGCACTGCTACAGTGCGCCACTTGGGAGTGCAGTGGCCCTCCCGCCGAGGGTTCGGATCCCACATACAGACCGGTTCCCGCTCACTGGCTGAGCGAGGGGCGGGTGCAGCACCGAGGGTTGCGATCCCGTTGCCGGTCCCGGTCCGGTGCGGGCGCAACACTGAGGGTTGCGGTCCGTTGCCGGACATGAAAAAAGACAAAAAGGAAAAAAAAAATAAAGACTGTCACTTTAGGGGCCGGCCAGTGGCGCACTGCTACAGTGCGCCACTTGGGAGTGCAGTGGCCCTCCCGCTGAGGGTTCGGATCCCACATACAGACCGGTTCCCGCTCACTGGCTGAGCGAGGGGCGGGTGCAGCACCGAGGGTTGCGATCCCGTTGCCGGTCCCGGTCCGGTGCGGGCGCAACACTGAGGGTTGCGGTCCGTTGCCGGACATGAAAAAAGACAAAAAGGAAAAAAAAAATAAAGACTGTCACTTTACCCAGTGGTATGGAAATGACTTCTAACAATAAACCCGATCAGACCCCCCCGACAGAACAGGGATTGAAAGAAACCACCCCCAGGTATGGCACAGATGAGGCCCCCAATCAGGCTGAACCACTCCCTTTCCCATGTGTCTCAGCTTCTGTTTATTTAGCTTTCTCCTGCCAACAGCCCATCACACACGGTGGCTTCTGGGCCCCTCGGCCACTAGACTACCGTTTCCAAACATCAGCAGCCACTTGAGGCAAACACTCGTCATCAGCTGTCCTTGTTAGAGAGAAGGGGATGTGCCAACTGCCTCAGAACTTTCTGGCTTTCCTACTCTCCAGGAGAAGGCGCCTCGGGACTGTGATCCTTCCAACTCACTCTGAAAACAAAGCTACCAAGGAACAAGGAACTGATTCATGCTACAGCATGAATGAACCTCAAAAACACTGTGCTCGGTGAAAGAAGCCAGCCACGAAACACCACGTACTGTATAATTCCATTCATATCAGATGTTCAGAAAGGCAAGTCTGGAGAGACAGAAGGCAGATGAGTGGTTGCCTGGGGCTGGGAGGAGTGGGGATGGGGAGAGACTGTTGACGGGCACAGGGTTTCTGTAGGGGGTGACAAAAGTGTTCTAAAATTAGACTATGATGATGATGCACAACTCTATGAATATACTAAAATACCACTGAATTGTATGCTTTAAACAGGTGAACTTTATGGTATGTCAATTATATCTCAATAAAGCTGTTCAAAAAAAATAAATCAAAATAATGCAAATGTCTTCAGTGACAGGTATCTGTGTAGTTATGGCCTGTCTCTGGGGTGGGGCTCGCGGTGGGAGGACAGAAGAGAAATAACATGCTCTGGGCACCTGTGTTCCTCTCACTTGATCCCCTCTCCCCCTGCGACTGGGATGCTCCCATATGTCCAGCTTTAGAGACAGGATAGTGCGGCTTAAAGAGGGAGAGTCACCAGTCTGAGGCCACCGAGTTGGCGGGAGGCAGCCACAGGGCTCCTCCCAGCCTGACCCCCAGCCCACTTCTCTATCCGCTTCTCCTTCTCCACGAACAACAGGTATTTCTCACAGCTCTACTTAGCATATCAAATCCTATGCCGTTACATCCTTGCCTCAACCTGACTAGGAGCCATGTCCTCCCCCAGCACCCATGCCTCTAAACGGAAAAAAAAAAAGAAAAAGAGAAAATCAATCTTTGCCTTCGAATCCAGAATTAATTCCTAATCTGACAGGTTTTGCACAGACCTCATAAAGGCTCAATTGTTGAAGCCTGCTCTCCCTCTGCCTTCTCGAAATAACCTCTAAGTCACCTACCCCTCCTCCGCTTCATTCCTCCTCATTGTAATTGCAATCGCCCACACTTATCCTATCTACGAGTCCATCTACTTGTTCCCAGCCATATTCTCCTGTTAGAATGGAGGCTCCCTGAGGGCAGGGGTTGTCTGTCTTGCTCACTGCTGCAGCCACAGGTCACAGCTCCTGGCACGTAGGAGACTCAGTATTGGGGCAGAATGCTAGGAATGACAGGAGCTGGTTCCAGGCAGCAGGACCCAGCTTCCTGCAGCCACCCACAGGGAAGGGCCAACCTGAGCAAACCTCAAGCAGCTTCTGTTGCCAGAGGCCCCAGCCCCGTCAGCAAAACCCGCATTTCCTTCCGGTGCCTCTTGGTGGTAGCAACACTCAATCATGCCGACTCCCACTTACCGAGCAAGGCCACCAAGAGGAGAATCACGACGATGTTGTGGGCGTTCTTCTCCTTGTAGAAGTACAGCAGCAAGCAGAACAGGACGATCTCCACGAGCTACAAGCAGCAAGCAGGGAGGTCAGCGGGGCACCACAGGGATAGACAGGCAAGACCGGGGGCCCTGCGCGGCTGGGCCGGAGCTTTGATTTCATCGAAGTCACAGGCACTCAGCCCTGAAAGGGAACTAAGCACCCAGCACCTCCCAAACTACTGACAGATATCCAGTGGAAAAGGGCAGCCCTGAGTGAATGGCTCCAGTCCCGGACCACACCGAGAAGGAATTCCCCGTCCGCCTCATGCTACAGCTCTGAGGGTGGCGGGCTGACCTCAGGTCCACCCTGTCTTGGGTGGCCAAGATTCAGCCGGCTGAGACGGTCTCCTCCCACTTGGCTGCTCCGTGGCTATGCCCATTAAAACTGGGGTTGGTCACAGAGGGAGACACGTGTCCACTGAGCTCTCTGGTGAAGAATGTAACTATACAGTCTCCCTGCCCACAACCAAGCCTCCGATGCATGTGGCTTAGCAGAGTAGGAAGAGGGAGGCACTTGGAGTCAGGAGACCTGGGTTTGAACTTGGATCTGACCCTGGCCAAGTCGTGTAACTTCTCTAAACCTCAGTTACCTCCTCCATGAAATAGGGATAATAATTCTTACTTTACACTGTACACTTAACGAACTCTCGTTGTATGCTAGGCACTGTTCTAAGCATTTTATCTACAGTAACCTCATTAAATCAACACAATAGCTTTATAAAGTAGGTGCTATCACAAAGCTAGTAGATGGCAGAGCCAGGATTTGAACCTAGGCAATCTTGCATCCAAGACCCATGAACATTCACGCTAGGCTACACCATCTAAAGACAGGAGGCGCTCAGTCAGTAGAAACGTACTATTACATGATGGCAAGTCTGAAGTTTGAGAAGCTTCTCCCCTCGCACTGATGACTTGTCCTTCCTACTCCTGAAAGGCCCGCACGTTGGCAATATTTTCCCAAGAAGTGAAGCCAGCCCCAGCACTCAGAGAAACTAAGGCAGGAACAGTGGCTCAGCTCCACTGCCTACCCCAAATCCCTACCAAAGCTTCTTTGGTATAAAAACTAATGCAGAAATATTAATGAACATTTCAAAAAGAAACATTTTTAAAATTTCTCCTAATTGGAGACTGTAAAACACGGCTGTTTTATTTCCACATTTCTTCCTTGTCTCTGTCCCAGTGAATACTTATTTTACCTAGTTGCCATCGTAGCCAATGCACAATTTTGTATTGGGCTGTTTTTAGTTACCATAAACAATCTTCATGTTTTATGAAGCTGTCATAATTATCTTTAATTGCTAAAAAGCACTTCCATCAAGCAGATGTAGTCACTCATAAACATTCTTAGCTGCTGTGCATGCTTTCAGGGGGTCCCAGTTTTTCGGCCATTCTTCATGATTCTTAAATGATTGCTGGAACAGCACGTGCCATTATGTCCTAAGAAGGCTGTGCATATGTTGGTGCCCCCCGACAAACCGTGAGTTCCGTGAGCATGTCATTTACGTTTTATATCCACAGTGTCTGACACATAGCAAACACTCAAAAAATATTTATTGAATTTGGTTTGACCAGATCTCTCCAGCTACCAGCATGGCCTCACAGTCACGATGATGTAAGAGGAACTGAATCATGCACTGAATATCTACCATGTGCTGGGTGATTTACACGCTACCTCATGTGTCTCCCAACAACAATCCTAAGTCCAGTGACTCTTGCCGTTTTACAGAGCAGAAAACAGAGAAGGAAAGTCACCTGGCCAAGGCCACACAGCATGTAAAGAATTTAAGCCCAGGACTCCCTCAGCGAAAGGCTTTTTCTGGGGTAAAGCTTTGCCCAAAGAGGCAGGTCTTTGACTTTTTCCTGAGAACATTTCTCTGCACCCACCAGGTAAACTCTGGGGCTGGCTGGCAGTAGGGAAATGACACAGCCCCATCTCAGGAAAACCTATCCTCTGCCTTGTGGGCCATCAGAGGAAAAAGGATGTTTCAGGGCCTCTAGACTCAATCAGGCTCAGGCTGCTTGGGTCAGGGGAAAACTGAACACCTTTGTCAGCAGGCCACGGGAAGGAAGGTGGCACCCGAGGCCAGCTGGGCTGGGCCTTCAAGTCCAGCTCTGCCCTTACGGGATCTGAGCAGGTCAGCTAACCTCTTAGAGACCCAGTTTTTTAATCCATAAAATAGAGAGAAAACCACTTATTTTGTAGGGCTGTTGAAAGAATCTGAGATGGTGTATAAAAATGTATTTAGCATGGTACAAGGCAGGGAACAAGAATATACCAGTGGCTTTATCGAATACCTTAGATGTTTTCCTTAATTAGTTTATTAGCAGACCTAAAATGGGATATAATTGGGGCAGAGAACTAAGCTCTGGCGGGAGGTTTAGGAGACAAAGTTTCTAGTGTCTCCTGGATTTCTATCAGCTTTTATCAGCTGCATGATACTCAGAAAAAGAAAAGAAAAGAACACTTTAAATTTGTATAAAATTTTAGCTTTTTTTCACCCTCACCATAAAAGTTTTAAAGGGTCACTGTAGAAATTTTGGGCCGGCCCCGTGGTGCACTCGGGAGAGTGCGGTGCTGGGAGCGCAGCGACGCTCCTGCCGCGGGTTCGGATCCCATATAGGACTGGCCGGTGCGCTCACTGGCTGGGCGTGGTGTGGGCGACACCACACCAAGGGTTGCGATCCCCTTACCGGTCACGAAAAAGAAAAAAAAAAAAAAAGAGAAATTTTGGATGATACAGAAAAATGAAGAGGAAATAAAAACTGACTCATAATTCCATCTCCCAGAGGCAACTGAGGGAATTTGTTTTTCCATCCAGTCCTTTGTAGGTATGTTACACGTACATACCTACATATACATCTAAAAAATAAAATGAGCATCATACTATATATGGATTTAGACATTACTCAAGACACAGTGGAATAAGTGTTTCCCCATGAACACGTCCTCTCCACAAACATGGCCATCAGTGCTTTGAGAAATATGTCCTGATTCATGGGAATCCCTATTGCTGGGTATTCAGGTCTCTGGTTTCTAGGACTTGATCTCCCTACCTGCTCACTCAGGTGGGAGGAATGGAGGCTTTTCTTACCATGTACAAGAGGAAAGGCCAGCTCACGAGGTGCTTGGTGACGTTCTCACCTGTCATCTTCTCATGACTGTTGGGTGCAAAGGTCACCAGCAGGTAGGTACCCACAACAGTCAATCCACAGCCAACAAAGGACAATACGTAGCGCCCTGTGGGGTGGGAGAGGCCCAAGGCACAGCATGCAATGAAAGAAAAGGTTTTTGTGCAACACACTAGGACCTGTTACTTAGTTGTAGTTTTGGTTTTTCTTTACTTTAAAAAATAAATTATCTTCCTTAAATGCTAAAAACACTTTAATGAAGTATAACAAGCATACAAAAGTGCTCAGTGAATTCTTACAAAGTGAACACACCCAGGAAACCAGCCTTTGAGAAGGAGAACATCAGCAGGACCCCGAAATGTGCCCTCTTCCAATCACTAGACTCCCCAACCCCCAGGGTAACATGAACTTAACTTCTAACAGCACTGACAGGCTTTCCTGGCTTTGTACTTTATATAACTGGATTCAAACAGTACGTTCTCACTAACCACTGCTTGTGAGATCCACCTGTGCTGTGGTGTGCAGCGGCAGCTCATTCTCACTGTGTACAGTGGTCCACGGTGTAAATAGGATGCAATTTACCCATTCTACTGTTGGTGGGCATTTGTGAAGTTTCTAGTCTTCGGTTATAAGAAATTATGTTGCTATGAACATTCTTGTATAAGTCATTTGGGAAACACGTGTCCTGTATGCATTTCTGTTTGGTATAGATGAGGCACAGAATTCCTGGGTCGTAGGGTATGCGGATGTTCAGTTTGGCAGTTACTGTCAAATGGTTTTTCAATTCACACCACACCAGGAGAGCAGGAGAGTTCTGGTTCATCCTCGTCAACACTAACATTTTGTCTTTTTCATTTTAGCCGTTCTGGTATCACGCTGGGGTTTTAACATTCATTTTATAGGGAATGTTTTAAAGCTAGAATCACTGTATGGGCAAGCTAAAAAACCAAATAAAACAAAACATCAAAAGCAAACCTTCAGAGCCTAACAAGCATCTTTAAAAAATTACTTTATCTTTTCCCAACTGACTATTTAACCTACTCCCAAGGGGAATTATTTAAATACTATCAATATTCTACTCCACAGACCTGCCAGAGACTATTAGTGGCCCAGGAGATGTGCCCCTCCTCTTCCCTGGGGTCCTGTCACACTCCAATGGACCTCTGTGGGTCAGGAGAAAAGCCTCTTGAGGTCCAGCCCAGCCCTAGGCAAACTGAAAAGGGCCAAGAGTTCTGAGCTGCACATATGGTGACCACAGACCTCCAGATTTTTCTGGGATAGAACTAACTACACCTATTTCATCAGACTGTCTCCTGAAAACGTGATATCATATTAAATGTCTTTCATTTTTATTCTCATAAAAATCTAGGCCTTATAAACATAGGAGGTGCTCAAAACACCATTGTTCAATTATTCACTGAATGAATGAATGATGGTTAAACCCAACAGAGTACGTTCTGTGCTAAGATGCACAAGTCTATTGTCTGAAGTTTTTTTCAGGCAGGGATGGGTCTTACACATCTCCACATGTGAGGTGTCCAGCACAGGTTTAGCATAAGTGAATGTTTGTTGAATTTAATGGAACTTTATGCAGGGCAGCCATGTACAGCTGTGCAGGTGGCTCACTGCACAAGGGCATCTGACTGAAGAGGTGAGGAGGGCTAAAATCCAGCCCATGCTCTGGTCACCAAGGCTTTTGCCCACAAAGTTACAAATATCCAGAGGGGTCACCTTTTTCCAATTCATAGAGGGCACTGCCTGGACCAGCAGGGCTCTCATCCCAGGACTACCCAGAATGACCTTGGAAGAGATGCAAACTTCTATACTAGTCTCAGAACCAACCCAGGGTTCCCCTAACCCCCACCAGCAGGACTACCACAAATCGGTCTAAGTCTTTTGGTCTTCTTGGCATCATTTGTTTGCTGGGCAGTAGCTGCAAAGCTTCCAGTTTTGCTTTTTTCAGAACCTTTCTTTGTCTTTTTCATTTTAGAACCCATTTCTTTTTCACCTCCTGGGCCAACCCTGATCATATTTTATACCAACAATTCAGAACAGTGGTTCCCAAACTTGGCTGTGTGTCCACGATATCTTGGGAGCTTCTTCCCCCTGAAATTCTGTTTTAAAAATTTTCAGACACACAGAAAAGTTGAAAGAGTTATATAGTGAGCGCCCATAGTCCCATCACCTAGATTCTTTTTTTTTTTTTTTCCTTTTTGTCTTTTTTTGTGACCGGCAACGGATCGCAACCCTCAGTGTCGCCCCCGTACCGGACCGGGACCGGCAACGGGATCGCAACCCTCGGTGTTGCTCCCGCACCTCGCTCAGCCAGTGAGCGGCCGGTCTGTATGTGGGATCCGAACCCTCGGGCGGGAGCGCCGCCACGCTTCCCAAGCGGCGCACTGTAGCAGTGCGCCACCAGGCCAGCCCCCCCATCACCTAGATTCTAAATTGACAAGTCGTTATACTTGCTTTATCACATATCTGTCCATCTCTCCATACCTCTATCTATTCATCAGTCCATCTTATTTTTAATATATTTCAAAGCAAGTTGGAGACATCAGTAAATACTTCAGCTGGGGGAGCTTTATAAGAATGCCAATACTCAGGACCCACCCCGGACCACAGAATCTCTAGGGATAGAGTCTGGGCCCGCCACCAAGTCACTCTTCAACTCCTTAGCATGTCTTAGAAGACCCTGCATCATCCAGTCCTCCATGCCTCCCTGATCTCCCTCTCTCTCTCTTTACCCACCTGCCTCCAGCTACACTGATACTGGACACACCACGCTTATTCCTGCCCCAGGGCCTTTGCACCTGTCGCTTCCTCCATGTGGAACACCCTGCCCACAGACCACTACTAAGGCAGTGTCCTTAGTAGCATCTAGGTCTGGGCTCAGAAGTCACTTCTTAAGATTCTAACCCCGACCAGTCGAGGAAAAGTGCCCCCATCTCCCCCCCAATTCCCCATGAAAAAGCATTCTATTTTCTCTGAAGCACTCACTACAATCTAAAATTATTTTGTTTAGTTGTTCCCTTCCTTATTGTATCTGCCCCCCGAAACACACACACACACACACACACACACACACACACACACACACACACACACACACGAGACTGAAGTCTCCATAAGAGGAGTCCCATTTGTCCTGCTGTATCCCTGGCACTTAGGACAGAGCACAGCACTTAGTATGTGTTTTGGTGGAACACATCTTCCCCACTCCTCGGGCTTCCATGTGAAGGGACATCCATTAGAGTGACACTTCTGCCTCTTGCCCATATTTCTCAAATGGGTGGAGCTAATCTATCGAAAAAATTTTTAAATATGGGGGCTTTGCTCTGTTTTCTTCCTTCTCTGCCCCAAACTATGTAAGATAGTAATTCTGGGTATCTCTACTCTGTAAACTCAAATATTTCTTCGGAGGACTGGCCCAAGGTCTAACTGGAGGGAGGGGCACGTCTAAGGGGAGGGTGATGGCAAGTTCATTTGGCTGCACACCTAAGCTGCATGCTCAAATCTGGCTTTTATTAGTAAGAAAGCAAAACTTCTGGCCTCCTGTGTTTGACTCCCATTGCTTCAGAACCCAGTCAGGGAAAGAAGGGCCTTTTATTAGGCCTCCTAAAATCCCAATAATAGATACTCAATGAATATTGATTGAATGGAATGAATGAAAGTCTGTTTTAAAAGTCTCACAGATGATTCTGATATGTAGCTAGGCTTGAGAACCATTGATTAAAAAACCCGGCTCTCAGAACCATAGAGGGGAACAGAAGAGAGATGATCCCTAAATTGGGGTGAGCTGGTTTTATAATGAATAAAAAGCATGAGCATAAAATTAAGGGCAGGGCTCAAATCACTGAACTTACTCAGAAAGTCTTTAGGTTTCCATTTTTCTTTGATGAATATGATTCCTATGATGGCACTAGCTGGAAAATAAAGCACAGGGAAAAGAGAGTAGAGGCTGCGGTCAGTTAAAGGGCGTCCCTTTGCCGTGCCCTTTGGGTCGGCTCATCTGCATGGGAGCTTGGTACTTCCCAACCTCTCACTCCAACTCCCACGAGTTCAGTCCCCTCTGGTCCCTCCGTTATCCCATCTTGGAGAAGAAAGCTCCTCTCTGAGCCTTCCTGAGGATTTCCTACAAGGCCAGGAGCACTGTGTGTTGAGTACCTGCTGTGTGACAGGCAATTGACACGAATTATTTCTGGCATGTCCACCCTTGGAGATGGGTGCTGTCAGTAGTCCTATTTCACACATGGGGACACAGAAGCTGAAAGAGCTGCAGGGCCCACTCGAGATCACGCAGCTGGTAGGGACGATGAGACGTGAGCCCAGGACCGTCGGAGTCCTGGGCTTTTTGCTCCTTCCCCTACAACACCTACCTTTGACATCTCCCTCCTGGTTCTTTTCTCTCCCTGACACGTCCACGTTCACAGATGTACTCAAACACCCTGTGACTGCGCTAAAGGATGGGGCTGGTAGCCACAGTGAGCAGACCTGGATTACCATCCCGGCTCTGCCTCTTCTGGCTGTGAGTCCTTGGGTAAGTCACTTCTCCTGAGTCTCAGTTCTCTAGTCTATGAGATCGTGTGCTGGATCCAGTGGGCACCGTAGCCACAGTGAGCAGACCTGGATTACCATCCCGGCTCTGCCTCTTCTGGCTGTGAGTCCTGGGGTAAGTCACTTCTCCTGAGTCTCAGTTCTCTAGTCTATGAGATCGTGTGCTGGATCCAGTGGGCACTGGCTCGCTCATTGTTAGATACGAGTAAACCATTGGTGGCTTGGAGTCAGCCACAGTGGAAGTAAGTAATTTATATACCATATAAACTGGCAAACACTACAAGCCAGGTCTTCCTTTTCTCCTTCCCTGTTTTTCCATCCCTTCTCTCCACCCCTCCCTCCCTCCACCTCCTTTTCTTTTCCTTCTTCATCTCTCTGTCTCTCTGAGAGTCAGTTTATCAGCACACCATTGAAAATAACTACTTCTCTGAGTTACAGGGGCAATTAAATGAGATAATATATGCAGGTACTTCAAAAAGTTCATGGAAAAATTCTTACCTTTTAATTCTGTTTTTCCATGAACTTTTTGAAGTACTCTTATATGTAAATCATTTGGCACACAGTAAATAACTGAGCTATCATTATTATTATTAAAGTATCTGCAAAAAGCCAGAGATACGCAATAAATGGTAGTTGTTATTATTTTTAAGACTATTTTTCACTGGCTGACTTCAGAAGCCCCTTAATTTCCAGCAGCTGACCTTTGAAGTCTCATCATTACAATTCAGTCTCTTATTTTTAAGAATTTAGTTATTTGTTCCATTTTAAAATTCAAAGACTAATATTTAAAGCACTAGCTGCTCAGTCTTATTCCTTGTTGTGAATAAAGGTTCTGGGCGCTCTTTGGAGACACCAGCAACAGGCAGAGCAGCAAGATAAGGGTCCAAATGTAAATATCTACAGGCGCTTAGCAGTAACAGAATGTGACTGCATGGACATGAAAGTTCCTCTATCTTTTAGTTGGTTCAAATACTCTGAAACACTGGTTCAGTGATTATGGAAATCATAGAAAAATGGCAGATGAGAGGTGTTAAGATGTTTTAAAAATGGTATCAGTTAACGTAAAACAGAGTAAGCTGAACGTGTTTTTCTTAGAGCACATGATATCTGAACCCTACAAAAGCTTAGTTCATCTTGACAGTGTAAAGATGCATGAGTTAAGGTTTATGTTCCTTCTGCAGTAGAAATAAAAAGCAATTCTGATAAACTTTCTGAATCTTAAACAGATTCTGGAAACAGACAGCCCAGGTCATAGCCTAGCGCCGCTGCTCACTAGCTGTGTGCTTTAGGGGAAGTAACTTCACTGCTCTGTGCCTGTTTCCTCATCTGGAAAATGGGGATAATAATAGTATTTCCCTCAAAAGGTGGCTGGGTGGATTAGAAGAATTAAGACTTGTAAAGTGCTTAGAACAGGGTCCAGTGTGTAGGAAGCCCTTTGTAAGTATTACCTATTATTATCAAAGCAAAAGCTGGTGTGTTTAATGAGTGTCTTCGATTCTGGTGGTGACACTGTGGTCACACAGGTGGGTGAGCCTCAAGGGGGAAGGTGGGATGGAGGCCTGGTCTTACCTATCACGGAGACTGCGCCAAGGGGTACGATCAGTGAGAGGGGAGCAAAGGCGTAGGAGGCAAACACGCCCAGCTCACCCAGCAGCATCAGGAACAGGCCCAGCCACCATGTCTTCGTCTTGAAATAGGCCCGGGGGTCCTTGGAACCTGCCAGGCGGATATGGCAGTACTTCTAGAAACCAGAGAAGAACACAATTTACCCAGAAGTTTGAGGGGGAAATGATATAATGCATGTATCCTAAATCTACCCCCTGCACACTTAAAAAAATAATTTGGGAAGACCTGTCAAGTTTTTCTGGAGTCCTTACTCAGAGAAGAGGAAAGCCATAGTGATCTAAATACTACATGGTTATTCTAAGACAGTAGTTCCCCAACTGGCGGGAAATCCTTAACACTTCCCTGGGAAGCTTTGAAAAAACACAAGTCTGGGCTTTATCCTTCGAGTCAGCAAGAGGCGTGGGTGAGGCCTGGAAATGGCTATTTCTAATGCACACCAGAGGCAATGTGTGGTGAGGGGTTAGGGGGTGGGATGGGAGCCATGGTCTAGGATCCCCACTTTGGCCTGGTCCTCAGGTTGACCTTCTGCCTCTGACTGCAATTCCCAGGTTTCCCCATGTTTGGGATCTTCTCCTTTCTGCAGAAGTGCCAGCAGAAATTGCTGGGCAGCCATGTGGGTATCTGTGGACCCTGCCCTCCCTGGGGTGGATACTTGGCTTAAGCATGGCCAATATTTTTTTATTGGGAAATGTGACCATGGGACACAGAAACCAAGGCAGTAACCAAGAAAGGCTAGAAAGTCATGTTGACTCAGAGAGCCGAGTCTGCCATTGGGGGAGAATCGTGAAGGGGACTGCAGAGAAGCAGATAAATAAACAGAGATTCTGGTCTGTAGAGAGAAGAGAATGTACCAGATAAGTAGCTAAGAGACCACACAGCTACAGAAACACACACACACATGGGAGCTGAGACGCACAGGGTACTGATGCACAAGGCACACCCATGTGTCCACAGACATTGCAGCCTGCGATCCAGAGAGGGAGGGCAGTTCATTGCAGCTAGAAGTTGGCCAGTGTGCTGTGGGACTTATCCTGTTAGCAGGTGGCAAGTCTTAGTTTGGGTTTCTCAGCAGCAGTCCCTGAGACAAGGTTGGGAGCAGGTAATTTATTTGGGAGATGATCCCAGGAAGCCCAAGTAAGTGGGGGGAAACTGAGGCAGGGAATGGAGAAGAGCCAATGAAGGGTGCATTAAGGAACAAATTAGTCCCATGAGCAACTGGGCATCAGTCCCACTGGGGATCCTCGGAGAAACCCTGTGAATCTCACCTCAGAATCATCCTACCAGAGGACAGGAGTCTGTGGCATTTATCCATGGATTCCCATCCCCCACTGGCTGATGGCAGCCCCCAGGGGCATTAACACTGCCCCTCTCCCCGCACACAGCCCAGCTGCACCTGTATGCCAGTGGAAGCAGTTCCCTGGTGCCTTCAGGAGAAGCTCCTCGAGCTATCAGCTTGCTCCAAACCACAGCTGCTTGTGAACTCAGTTGGGCCGCGGGGATTTGGATTGGGGCACCCACAGCAGCTGCTATGTGGCACCTCTAGCAAATTTTAAGTAATGGAAGGTGCTGTACTCAGAGTTGAATTCAACAAACTACAATAATTCAGGCAGCCTTGCAGCAAGCAAATAGGAGAAGATGAGACCAGAGCCAGGGAGGCCAATTAGGAGGTCACTGCACAGCCCAGGAGAGAAGATAATGTCCTGAGCTAGGAGGGTGATGGTGGGGATGAAGTGGGGCACGAACCGAGAGATTCTGGAATAACCTGCAAGGTACTGTTCCAGATGCAGCCATGGATGGAATACATAAGGCCCTACAGAGAGAAGGCAGCTGGACCTGGACAGGCCACCCTGACCTACCTGCTATGTCTCTGCCCCAGACAGTGCTGGTGGCTGAAACTCACCTGGAGGTTAAGTGCAATGCTGACCACAAGGTGCCCAAAAATCGCCAAGAGGGCGCCAATCAAGTTCTCCTGTAAGGAAAATTCACAGGAGCAGACATGAGTTGAGCCTAAGCCAAGGGGCCCCAGGACACTTTTGACACTCAACTCTGCTGTCCCCAAACAAAATCAGGAAAACCATATCCATCACAAAGTCACATCCCAGACCCCCTACTGGAATTTTACTACCCAAGGTTAGTCTGGCTGCCTTGCTGGTTTACAAAACACTGACCTGAATTGGGCACTTCCAGAAAACACTATTCTTTGGCTGTTTAGTCACAATGACCTGACAAGGGCCAAACCTGCTCTGCTATTCCCCTTAATGTGCCGAACTGCCACAATCTAGTACAGAAGAGCAACATTCAGAAATCAGAATTTACAAGAGATATACAACCAGCAGTACTTTTTGCCATCTTATCAATGGAGTCTTAGCATTCCCAGAGGGGTCTCAATGAGACTTTCTAACTGGCTAACTTGCTTAGGGCATTTTCAATTATTTAATTTATAAAAAGTTAATTTATATCACTTTATGAGTAAGGTCCAGATTCTTAGACATGGTATTTTTTAAAAACTTTATAAAATGATTACCAAACCTATATTCATTGTAGAATAATTAGTAAATATAGATCAATAAAAATAACGATAACATAATAGAAAAAACACCTGTAATTCTATAACCCATTCCTATAAATTTTCTTGTCCATAAATTCAGATATGTTAATTTACTTTATAAAAATAAGATTACAACCTGTATTATAACTTGTGTTTTTACTTAACATATTGTGAACACATTTCCCTACCAGGCATATCTAATTCATCATTTTAAATAAATGTCAAATAACTCATCATTTAGATATATCATTGCTTTCCTATTACTGGGCATTTGTGTGGATCGGTCTCTTGGGATAAATTCTTAGAAGTGAGAATTACTGGATCAAAGTGTATTCGGCACAGCATTTAAACCGCACTATATTCAGTCCCCAACGCACCTACCAGCATTGTTCCACCACGAGACACCAAAGGAATGCTCTACTTCAGCCAAATACAACCTCCCTTCCCAGGATGTGCCTTCCCAACTCCCTTTGCTTATGCGGTTCATCCCACCTGGCTGCCCTCCCTTGTGAAATCCTGCCCCTTCTTCAGGGCATGGGCCAGGCCCGGGGGAATCCGCAGGGAGCAAGACAAACAGTCCTTGCTCTCCCAGTCTTCGATCCATCTGGGAAGACAGATAATTGGCGAGCAGCCCCAAAGTGGCCTCCTCCTCAGGAACAGAGTCAATAGGAAGGGGTGAAGCCAACCCTCCCGCTCCTTCCTTCTCCTAGAACACAGAATGCTTAGAGGGCTGAGGGGAGGCCTTCCCTGAGAAGAGGCGGCTGGCATGGGATGTGGGCAGGAGGGAGAGGGGGGTCTCCCGACTGAAACTCCCATGCATGGCTGTCCTTAAATCCTCCCCACCCCCAGCAAGGCACAGCACTGCAGCATAAGGGAAAGACTCTAAGCTGGGAGCCAGGAGGCCCAGGTTCTAGTCCCAGCTCTGTCACATCACTGCAACTTTAGACAAGTCCCTTCCCCTGGTCAGGCTTGTGTGTCCCCCATATGGAAAATGTAAGTTCTGGCTCAGATGACCGCTAAGAGCCCCTCCAGCCCAGACCCAAGCCAGGCTGCTAACAGAAACAAGTGAATGCTTGGGCCACACTGGAGACTGACTGACTCACTTCATGCACAGCTGGGTAGAATAAAGCTACCTGTGGGCAAAAACCATGCCCTTCCTGTAGGATCATAGGATCTCGGGGCTAAAAGGGTCAATGGAGCCCAACCAGCCAGAGCTTCCATCACTGGGTTCCCAGAGATGCTAATGTGGTAATGGGGTTCCGAGGTACCTGTTGTTTAAGCTTGGGGGACACTCAGGCCCTGGCTTGGAGGCTCACAGTGCACGCCCAACCAGCCAGAGCTTCCATCACTGGGTTCCCAGAGATGCTAATGTGGTAATGGGGTTCAGAGGTACCTGTTGTTTAAGCTTGGGGGACACTCAGGCCCTGGCTTGGAGGCTCACAGTGCATACATTAGAGGCTCTCAGAGGAGTTTCTCTTTGTCTAACTCAGGTTTCCCAAAACTCACTTGGCTCTAGACTCTTAACTTGGAATCCAGCCATCGGCATCTGCAGCAGACATCTGTGATTCTCACCCACCTGACATTTTAATCCCATTCCTTTTCTTCTGGTAACAGCGCATGACTTTGCTGAGGACTACCCCTCCGCCACACACACACTCTCCATTGGACAGTCTTGTCGGAACTGTCATTCACAGTGCTCCATCGTCCCCTGGACAAAGATGGGACTATGACCCAAGCCAGGCAGGTCAGAAACTTTCTCCCTGGGACACAAATCATTGACTGAGAAACACAAAGGCTGAAAAGGGCTGGGCTTACTTCAGACTCATGCAACGCCTGGACAAATCATTAGTTTCTGCTCCTTGGACCCCTGGAGCCGTCCTGGTTCCTGTCCTTCCCGAAGCCTGCATCAATTCTGGGAGCAGCCCCACAGTCTTTTTTGCTTAAGAGCTGGTTTCTGTTACTTGCAACCAAGAGCCTAATAGTGTCAATGCTTCATGGAACACAGTTTGGGAACATGTTTCTTATTAGTCCAACTTCTTGTAAATAAATGGGAGCTTCTCCACCTTCCTTAGAGATGTGGCTTTGGTGGACAGAAAAGGCTATCTGCTTTTACTTTTTTTTTTTTTTTAATTCACTATTAAAGTAAAACACTCACAAATCAAGTTTTTTGAAACAATACCTTACCACAGAACTAAGTAATTCTTATAAATCTGACAAATTATACTTATAAATATGATGACTGTTAAGTTCTCTTAAATATTCTAATGCTGCTCATACACAATAAAATTATTTTACAACATTCAACTTAAAAAGTTAATTACAGGACTTGCGCCTCTGGGAAGATGGAATAGACATACTTTTCCCTATTCTTCCCACTACATATAACTAAAACCCTGGACATCATATATAAAACAAACATAAGACTCTGAAAGGTGAAAGAAGAAGGCAGAAAGGCTAGGGGTCTCAGGACATGAGAGATGACACGGTGCTGAGTTCCCTGGGTTTCCTTTCTGCCTCTTACATCCACGACTTGGAGCTAAAGAAACCAGCATCCTGAAAATACCAACAGGCACAGAAGAAAAAAAAAAAAAAAGCCGGAAGAAAAGCCTGCTCTCTCTAGACAAAGGACCAGGAGATGGACAACTAAGCAGGAAGCAAACGTTTTTAGACAATAACCACTCTACTCTGAATACCACAGAAAAAATAAAATAGGGCCCCACCTCGCCCACGCCAGCACAGGCTGAATGGACGGCTCAGACTTCCAGCCTTTCTAAGATGTGACAAGGCATCTGCTAAGGTCTGCAGGTTTGTGTCCCCCTGTAATTCACTGTTGAAGTCCTAACCTCCAAGGTGATTATATTAGAAGGTGGTGTCTTTGGAAGGTGATTAGATCATAAGAGCAAAGCCCTCATTAATGGGATTAGTGCCCATATAAAACAGGCCGAAGAGAGACCCCTTCACCCCTTCCACCGCGTGAGGACACAGTGAGAAGGCGCCATCTAAGAGAAAGCAGGTCCTCATCAGACACCAAATCTGTTAGTGCCTTGGTCTTGGACTTTCCAGCCTCCAGAACTGTGAGAAATAAAGTCCTGTTGTTTACAAGCTACCCATCTTATGGTATTCTGTTAAAGCAGCCCAAATGGACTAAAACCGCCCTGCGAATCCCCTGCTGAGACTATCAGAGAAGGCCAGTGCTGAGGCATCCCCCTCCCCACGGTGTCAGGGAGCCTGGACCTCTACTTTTGATGCACAAAAGTTTTAAATTTTGAATGGTCTAATTTAGCTATTGTTTTTTGTTATTCATACTTTTGGTGTCAATATTTAAAAAATCACTGCCTAATCCAAGGTCACAAAAATTTACACCTATATTTCCTTCCAAGAATTTCATCGTTTAGCTCTTACATTTTGCTTTTTGAACCATGTTCATTTTTGTACGTGATGCAAGGTGCAAAGTCCAACCTCATTCATTTTCTTTCATGTGGATATCCAGTTGCCTGAGCACTATTTATTTGAAAGACTATTCTTTCCCCATTGAATAGTCTTAACACCATTGTCAAAAAAATCAATTGACCAGACATACGGGATTATTTCTGGATCTGAATTCTATTCCATGATTCATGTGTTTATCTTCATGCCAGTACCACTGGCTTACATCTCTTCTTGTTACTCAGTCCCTCCATTACCGCCTTCTTTTGTTTTATTTTTTTTTAAAAAGATGACCGGTAAGGGGATCTTAACCCTTGGCTTGGTGTTGTCAGCACCACGCTCAGCCAATGAGCGAACCGGTCATCCCTATATGGGATCTGAACCCGGGGCCTTGGTGTTATCAGCACCGCACTCTCCTGAGTGAGCCACGGGCCGGCCCCCTTTTGTTTTAAATAGATATATTTTCTAGTGTACCATTTTAACTCTCTTGTCATTTCTTTTACTATATAGTTTTAATTATTCTCTTAGTGATTGTGCTGTGGATTACAATTAACATCTTAATTAGCACCAATTTTTTTTAGTAGCATATAAAACTGTGCTCTTATACAGCTCCATCTCTTCTCCCACCATGCTATTATTGTCACAAATTTCTTCCTTATCTTTTAAAACTTAACAAACTGATATGGGTGAACAGAATTCTGCATTCCTTTCATTTAAAAATGATATCCAACTGCAGTCTCCATATCTCTCTTTTCTTTGCAGATCGATAGAAGGGACTCCGTTTATGGTTTCTGAATAAATGGCCTAATCTAAGCACAAACAAATGGCTATAAATGAAGAATGTGATATGTGTTATAAGACACAGTGCTGATAAAGAGCTGAAATTTCAAAGGAGGAATTCATTCTGGGTGCAAGGTCTGAACTACTTGGCTCAATGTCATGTGGCAAAGGCAGTGTGGAAGGGCCATAATTAAAATTTCGACTCTCAGACTTCC